GTCACCAGCCTGCAAGCCTAGCTCCGGCTCCAGCCCTACCTGCCCATCCCACCCCCAGACCCTGCTCCCCATCTGCCCGCAGCCCCATCTCATCCGCCTGAGCACACCCTGCTCATGCGGGTCCCGGGCCGGTCTCTATGGAGACCCTGCCTGCCACCACCGTCTGGCACCCCTGGTAGTAGTTGCAGAGTGAATGAGCCAGGATGCCCAGTGTGGCACATTCTAGCAGCACTGACATTGACAGTGGCAGACAGGAGGAGCTGCTGCCCCAGGTTTGCCAGGAAGCAGAGTCCAGCCACCATGCTGGCCCAGCCCTGCTCTGCGCTTGGGCAGTGGCATATGCCATGGCCTGGGCTGCCCCTCATGCCTGAGTCAAATGGGGCTGAGGAACCCACTGCAGGCTGTATAAAATTCCAGGCAGGCAGGATCAGGTCCACAGTACAAAACCCTGCTCAGCAGCTACCTTATTGTTAGAGGCACCTGAAGTCCATAGGCACCCCAAGTTATAGTTCTGGCCACATCTCAAAGTGACTCAGCTTTAATAGTGTTCAGTAACAAGGCCCATAAATTATACCTAAGCTGCATGAGGGTTTGCAAACTACATATTCCTCCAGCTTTAAAGTGCAAGGCGATATACATTTTCAAAGCACATCTGGTAGACTGGATAGCATACAAAGTGAAGGAGGTGATTATGAAGGGGCACTTACCTGGGAGAAGAGGGGCATGGGCTTTAGTTCACGCTCCAATTGTCCCCAGTTTCCTGCCCACCCCAGGGAGCTCCAAGCTCCGCGCAGCTCGGAGTTGTTCCAGGGAGCAGGGGTGGAGCTGTCCCCAGGCTCCCTCCCCTCCCCACCACAGCTAGGGCCTGACTTCCTCACCCCATGCCCTCTGCCGGCTCAAGGCTGCCCCCAATGCCCCCTACCAGACTAGGACTGGCACCTGGGGGAGCCTGGAGCTCCCCCTGGCTGCTGCAGGGGGCAGAGCAGGGCAGGAGCAGCCCTGGACCTAACTGCTCCCAATGCAGGTGCACATTCAGACACACATGCCTGGGCGCAATTTAATGTGCAGACAATTCGGGCAGATTAAGTTCACATGTAGATGCACCTGCTGTGTTTCAAGAGGCAGAGCACACAGAGGCACAGACCAGAGCAAGGGGACTGAGGTACCTGTAAATCACTATTGAAGCTTGATTCTAGGCTAGCAGCACACAGGGAATTCCCACCCCCACATACTCTAGAGTCTCTCTAATAGAGCTCTGATGATTAGTGAGAGGACTCAACCATTCTAGACATTGTACTGGGGACTAAAGAACAGCTACAGGCCACTGGTTCCATACAAGAGTTAAGTTTTAAATACCTATAGAATATTGTGATTTCACTATGCTAAAAGTACATAATTATGCAGCTCTGTTTCACAGAAATAAAAAAACCCCTCACACTGTGTTCAATTTAAGTGTCAGACACTTGCTACTAGGAATGGTATTTGTTACTGGTAACAATCCCATTAGCATCAATGGGACTGTTCATATAAGTGCTATTCAATGCGAACAAGGACTACAGAACTGGGCCAACATTGGTCCAGTCTTGTGGTCTTTACATGTTTACACAAATAGTTCTGAAGTTAAGCTTTAGAAGACGATGGGAGTTGGAAATAATATCATGAGCAGGAGGATGCACGATCAAGCTTTTTCTGTATGAATACAAATACATTATTAACATGCAGCAAACAGGAAAGCACAGCAAACTTTGCCTTACTATTTAAACATTAAACTTTGTCTTTCTGAGCTGTACTAGACAGATGATCTGCACACAGTATTTTGCAGAACTTGTACAACTGGCATTTGATTTTTTTAAAACATATTATGAAAATTTGAGCCAAAGATGATATCACAAAGTCCCTTATGCTTACAGGAAAATGTTAAATCAATTAGAGATAGCTAAAATAAAGGAACAATTATTTTTTTGTTTCACACCAATTTGCAGTATCTGTAGAAGTTCTTTAAAAATAAAACAAAGCTTTTTCATGTTCTTTTGAAAGTGATCATATTGAGCATTCTGAAAGCCACAGTGTGCTCTTTTTCTTCCACAAATATAAGGCTATAAAACTGTATTAGTTAACACAAGCTTCAGAAATTATAAACAAGACCCACAATTACCAGTCAGATATTTGAAGAGTGTGTCCACCCATGCATGCACTATATGCTTTTTATGGAAGATTCTGACCATGAGGAATATTGCATTAGAACACTAAGTTGCTTTGATACAAAGTTCATGCCCTTTAATAAATTTTGTAGATGTACTTCATATATTTCTCCCTGTGAATGAGTGTCCTTGGAAGCATTATTTACCAGATATTTGAAGATGAAGTCTAGACTTACTGGGTGAGGGTGGAGACTGATCTGATAATCTGTGATAGTTGTCAATTCATGCTCTGTTAGTGATCATCATAGGTCTCTCCCTTTTGCAGAAGCAAAAGTTAATAGAGGGTAGGAAAGAATGTGCTATGTGGCAGGCCACACCTCTGTTGAAACGCAGAGTTAACTTTGACTTCTGCTGCATTTACTTTGGCCTTGAACTACCATATGGGATTAATACAGAATTTCAAAACAGTAAGGCCATCTCAGACTGTCTGCTACTCAACTGCTGTTTCTACAATATAGATTTCTATAATATATGCCACTAGTAATATTCAAAACACTCAAAATTTGTGGAAGGAATCCTTTATCAGGTTTGAGTTTTTTCCTTTACAAATGAAATGTTTTACTGCAAACTGAAATGAAACTTGTTACGATGCATTTGCAGTAAGACCACGGTACTGAAAGTGTTTGATCTTGTCTGACAAGCCGAACAATTTTATAAATATAAGCATAGTGAATTTTGTGAGACTAATACAGGCTCCATTCAAAGGTTGTAACTGAATATGACTTCAATTTATAACAAAATAAAATAAACTGAAGCACTGGACTGGTAAGTTTCAAATTCAGATTTTAAATCTTTTCTCGGAATCTGTTTAAAGCTATGCTTTTAATATATTTTAAGGTTGTCCATTGATAGAAGAACACCATTCTATTCAGGGTTTTGTGCCTTGCCCATAATTGTGATACGTAAACACCAGACTAGATGTTCTCCCTCTAAAAAGACAGAAGAATGCATAGGAGGAAGAAACAATCTTTGCCACCTTTAAAACAAAGTTATATTTACGTACAAGGCTTGTGATAGCTTATTTTTTATTACATCTTAGCTGACTACATCTCTTACACAGGTTTATCTGCTTGCAATTATTCTTTCTCTCTTGATTGCTCAGAGGTAGGTATCTCATTCTAAAATTATTTAAAATATCTAAAAAAAAGTGAACCTTAGAATGAACATGTCATTACGACCCCTTAAATACAGTAATTGGATAATCCCCATTTTTCATTGTACCTTTATAGTTTGTCAATGAAATCATCAGATGTAATATTTAGGGGGAAGAGGGGAGGAGAATCCCAAAAAACAAGCTACAGGCCAAAGAAGAAATAAGGCATATCTTGTTAGAAATACAGGCATACATTATAAGCCAGTGGTTTTCATATATATGTTCATATTGTGGACCACTTTTTTTCCAGACAGAGATTTTCCATCATCTTTCCTTCTCAACCAAATTGCATGCCATTACTTTTCCATCAAAGCAAAGTTCAAAAGAAAGTAGGAAACAACACTTAACTTATAATGACTGCTGGGAAATTCCCAGGTTTTTCCATCTGTTCCAACTGCTGTCCATTGCAGGAATTTTTTTAACGTGAAGTTCTCCATTTCTGTCCACCATATAGTTTTTGGTGTCTCCAACAAATTAACCATATCTAAATATGTGGCTGAAAGAAATCTAATAAACACAAAAAGGAACATCTGCACATGCTGCATATTGGTACTTGTTCTGAGTGCAGCTGGTTAACAGAGCTTTTGGAAATGCCACAACAAGAAACTTGGGAGTAGGACCATGAGCAAGTGTCATTGCCTACAAACTAACAACTCTTACAATTTGACAGAAACGGCTTTGTAGACCCCACAGAAATATTTCATAAGATGATATCCTCTAAGGCAGCATCCAGATGAGCGTGGCCATGTGGTATGTAAGAAACCCTACTCCCTTGCCACAAACAGCATGGTAGGTTTTTTTGACCCTGGGAGATCCTGGGGTCAAAAAACCCATGCAAAAACAAAAAAAGGCAGAGTGGCGCACATAGGGGCAGTACACTCTGCCTGAAACCAGGACCTGGCCGGTTACAGCCACTGCAGCTAAAAGATATAGTGGGCACAAAGAAGAAATGAGAGGACTGAGCCCCAGCAATTGAAGGAGTGATAGCTAGGAGTCAGATTTAGTAAGAGCCTTATATAAATCTCCCAATTTTGGAAGTAGGATTCTAATATTGCTGTTAATTAAGTTGAATCATGATGTCAATTAAGTTGCATCGTGATTCAGCTGCATCATGTTTATCATGATGCTAATTCACTTATTTAATAGAAAAACAATAGGTTTCTAATTTTTTTTGCCAAATACTGAAATAGTTTTGAAAAAAGAAATTACCATGACCTATAGTAAGTACATTAATAAAAGTCTCCAATTTGTACTCACTTTCCAAAAATATTCAAACTGACTTCAAGAGATGGGTCTTCAAAATGCAACAGTATGGCTACACCTTTCTCGGGGGAAAAAGGATTATTGTAAATATTGTGACAGCAATGTATTCTCCTGAAATCAAATTTACTAGTTTAAGGCAAAAATGTACACAGATTGATCCAAACATTTTTTGCCACAATAGTTGTAACCATTAGATTTTTTAATATACAGACACCAAACTTACTTTATCAATTCTTGTTAGAAAATGAAAGGCAACTCAATAACCAGAATATATATCAGTTATGAGAGACAAACCATTCAGTACAGGCTTTATATTTTCTCGCCTATTAACATAATTATTTCCTATTCAGTAATAATCAAAATGACATTTTAACATTTTGAAAAAAAGGAGAAAATGACCCTGAAGGCCTTATGTGACTATCAAAACAAGCACAGGTACTTTATTTGCAAATTATCATGCATGAAATGATCAACTCAGCAAGTTTATCAGTCAACGAAATGTGTGTTACACCAGTTATAATCAATTTACATGTAAAGATATGGTTAAATATAAATTCTAATGAGTTCTTGTCATTTCATGTTGATCAGCTGCTGTATCACCATAGATTGAAGACTGACCATAGCTAATGTTGCAGAAACAGCACAGCATGCAGACATTTATACAAATACAATGCAAACCGAACACAAAGGAGATTGTTTTAATATAAATAATTTAAGCTCTGACTGATAAGCCACATTTACCTACCAGTCAAGTTAACAAAATATTTTGAAGAGGCCATTTTCCAAGGCAAAGATACATAGACACAGTAGTTTTCTCTTTTCAAAGCCAAAGAGGAAACCACCCATACAGGCCCCTACAAAATAAAGAACATCTCAGTTCAAAGCGGCTGTGTATAACTACACAGTAGTAGAACCTGCAAAACGATTATATAGTCAGAATAAGCATTTTGAGGCTAACATAAGTTCTCTGGCTTTGCACATGTGTTTAATAAATTCTCTAGCTTTATACACATGCTTAATCACAGCTCTGCAATTAAAAAGTTGAATTGAGCCTGAAAGTAAAAAACGACTAAGACAAGTAAATTACAGCTTTTTCATTAGTGGAGAGTGCTGGTCAGATGAAGTCCTGGAGAAACCTGGGAGAAAGAGGCCAAATTTATAACTGAGGCTTACATGACTGAGGATTGAATCTGAAGATATTTGAATTTGAACCTTTCCAGAACAAGATCACTCATGCAGTCATACTGTTACAGTTACCTCCAGACTTTTGCCTCAAGGTTCCCCATGTTAGGACAAATCTGTTCATACCCAGAGCATAACTTGCACATGTGACCTTAATGTACACATTTTGTACTTCTGCTTCTGATTTTGGGTAGTACTTTAAGGGTTAAATTCAACAGTAGTTTAACCTTGTTAAGTTCAAGTGAACAGAATACCCTTTTAAAACTGGATACAAAAGAATTCACCTTATTTACAATAGCACAAGACAAGTTTATAATCTCCCAGACAATCATTCTTGTCACTTCACTATCTTTATTAATAATTTACATATTTAGTTGGAATAAACATGATTTCTTGTTGATATACAGAATCATTTAGAAACCATATTTGGTATAATTTCACATTTTTGGTGTGTGGAATTTACTTTTATTCTGATAAAATAGTACAACAGACATACATTCAATATTATGTTATAGGCTTTGTCTATATAAAGAATTTACATTTTTTAAAATTTTGGAATGATGTTTCATATATATGAATTTAAAAAAATCCATTAATCTATGACCTTCCAAGTACATACAGCAACTGTCATAAACCATAATGAGTTTGACTTAACACAGATCGGGGGCAGATACATGTATGAACACATTCAAGATGTAGTAACATAGGTATGATTAGCTTTTACTTTGGTGGCTGTGATATTCCAGGTGCTGAGGCAAAGTGCAGCTGAAAGGCCCTTCCAGCAGTAGGTTTATTTCATGGTAATTTAAAGGCATCAGTTTCTCCTATTCTCCCTTATAGTGAGGGGGTCTTTTCTCCTTAAAAGCAAGAAGACCTTCAATTCTATCTTTTGTTGGTATAGTCTACAAAAAAACAGAGAAACGTCATGTTATCCATACCAGCATTGATAAAAAATGAGGTACAGGTTTCATATAAGGCCTCCGTTTATTTAATGTATGCAACGTGTAGTCCACAGTAAAATACAGAAATCACAAAAGTGTGAAACTGAACATAGTCCACATACAACTACTTTACAATCTGTGGTTCAGATCTTCAGTTGGAGTAACCTGATTATTGGTAAATGGTTTATTTAGCAATACTAATTTAAACCAGTTGAAGATCTGGCCTGTTGTTTTTAAGTTGCTTATTATTAAATTTCTAGCAAGAAGGAAAAAAAGACATTTTTATTTTTACAGATTTTATTTTTACATTTTATAAAGCCAAAAGGCTTCTCTACAAAACCTTTGATACCCCAGCAGTTCTACCTTCTCAAGAAGATGAACACTGCTGACGCAAAAAGAACTACTAATACTGTAGATATTTAAAATTTTCAAAATTCCTGTAAGACCCTTTTTAGAGTGCAGACAGAAGTGCAAGTGCAAGTTACCCCAGACCAAACTGAAGTTCACTGTTGGTTCCAGGGGGAAGGAAATCTAGCTGTGGGTTGGGAGCCTGCAGCCAGGCTCCCACAGCAATGGCTAGGGCTCTTTGCCAGTGCTTCCTGTTCTCAAAATGTGAGGGGCAAGGGGAGAAGGCAGTGGAGTGAGCTCATTTTGGGGCTCCCCAGCTGGTGCTGAAGGGTGGGGTGGGTAAATTGGAGCCCCCCACCTTGGGGAGGCTGCAATATACTTGCCGCACCCTCTGCGGGGGGCTGAAAAAACCCCAGACTGAATTCCCTCTGCTCCCTTTCCCCCCTCCCATTTTGAAAACAGAGACAGGCTCGGAGTTCTGCAGCCAAAAGTTACAAAAGACGTTGTAACATCTTTATCTGATACCTGATGCAATGAGAGGTCACATTTTCACCCAATCAGCCATTTTTGAAGCTGTTTGCAGCTGTGCACTTGTGTTTGGTCACAGCGATAAACTACTTTCTGTGGCCAGATCAGGAAAAATTTGTTACTCCTGTCTGCACTCTATGTGCTTTAGGTTTTCAAAGTGTTACATATACATACTCCCCATGGAAGGGCTGTAGAATGACTTGCAGGAACTTAAAAAAAAAGTTAGTGATGGGCACTCCAGTACTGGGCAGTATGGAGAAGAACAGATGCAAGCTTTTGTTCAGCTGTTTAAATCCAGGCCATCCAACTTCCAGGCAGCTGGGGACCACACACCACACAGGCTGCAATCTCAGGGGTCACATAAGATACAGAACACAGACCCTAGGGCCCTGAGCTTTCCTCCCCACAGTAAAGGCAGTGCAGCTTCCCCTGCAACCACACATGCAGTGTCCCTTTCCCAGCCACATGCACTATCTACCTGCAATGTGGGCAGCCTGGTCCCCTCCCTTGGAACACACATGGGCACCCTAACCACCCCCGCCCCCCACCACAACTCAGGTAACTCTAGCCCTCCCATTGCACAGCCATGCCTCACCCTTGGGACTGAGGGCAGGAAGTAGAAGCTGGAAGAGGGAGAGGGAGCTTAGCTGTTAGTGGGAGTAATGGTGGGGAGGGGAGGGGGAGGAGGGGGCCTGCAGGCTACATACTAATCTTTCAAGGCCCATTGTGGCCCACAGTCTGCTAGTTGGACAGCCCTGGTTTAAATGATCATGCTTTATACTAGTACAGGGGGTCATCAGAAAGTTAATCTTTAATGTATGCAACGTGTACATTTTTAAACCTTACTTGCACCTCCAACATTAAACTTAACATAAACATGCATGATTAGCTTTTTGCAAAGTACCACATTTACTCTTTAAAAGTCACAACGTAAGATCAAGCAAAGTAAAAATATGCAGCAAGGCATTTTTGTAGATCATACACTACATTTTTAGGTTTTGTAAATTAGTACCCATTTGCACCATTTAGAATGTGGTTATGTGTCTAGCATATGCCTTAACTTAGGGGTGTCAAAGAGCCTGTGTAGGTGGGTTATCTGGACCACAGAGCTTTTTGCCACAGCTACCAGCAGCCAAGGAGTTAATGCCATTGCCAATGAAGGCCAGTTGCCATCACTGCTGGAGACACAATGTAAGCATGGCTAACATCCAGGGGGTGAGCATTACAGCCCAATTCAGTGGTTTTGCTCACCACTGGTGACTAAAATCTGTGACATTCACCCCCTAGGTGCTGGCTGTACTGACACTGCACCTCCAGGGCTAGAGACAGACATTCAAAAAGCCTGAACCTGAATTCATTCAATCTTTGCAGGTTAGTCTAACCTGCAAAGATTCAACTGATTTGCAAGTGAACAGAAATTCACATTTCATACTGGAAATGCAGGCACATGCCTGAAGTGGCTCAGGCTAGAAGCTGAGGGGCGCTAGAGTGAGCCCCCCCCTTCCCTTTGCAGGAGCCACAAGGCTAGAGGGAAGCTGACCTGGGGGTTTGGCCAGGTCCCCTCAGGGGCTAGGTATGATTGTGGAGGGGTTTAAGCCCCCACCCTGGCCTTACCCCAGATGGGGTGTGCCTAGACGGGGAGAGGGAAAGCAGCTCCTTGCCAGGCTTATCCCCAAAGCCATACACAAGCCAGGGAAGCTCCTCAGGAAAAGGGCAACAAGGGGCGGGTATTAAACTCCCCTGTCTTCAGGAAGGCATGGAACCCCAGTCAGGGTCTGCCCAGCTTCCCCCGGCTCTTCTTCGGGTGGTGGGGAGCCTGGCCAGAGCAAGCAGCATGGATGGGTGCTGCTGAGGGTGAAGGCAGATGGGCACTGAGCTCAGGACAGGGGATATGGTGGCAGCTGCCAAGCTTGGAGCCCACCAATGCCTCTGAGATGGCCCAGAAAGCCTGCTCCCCAGCCAACCCCTCCCCGTGCTGCCAGGCCGGGCTCTCACGCAGCTGCAGTGGGCTGGGAAGGGCCCTACCCCTATGGGCTGCCTGGGGTTCCGTGACAGCCCCACCTGACTTGGGCATGGGGAACCGTGCAGCCCCTGTGACCCCAGCCTGAGCTGTGGCCTGCTTGGAAGGACCTAGCTTGGGGGTGCAGCCTGGGCTGGCCCCTCTGCCTCTACCAGCAGCAGCACTTGCAGGTCGGCTCAGCTCAGCCCTGCAGCCCCAGCTGCTGGTGAGGCAGGCAGATAGTGGAGGCCATGCCAGCTGGCTCTGGCCATGCTGCCTCCCCTGCCATTGGAGTCGGGAGGGGAAATGGCTGATGGGGGCCACAGTCTCCTGGTCGCGGGGGGGTGGGGAGGAGGGAATAAACCCCTTCCCTGCTCCCTTTGCCTCAGGGGGCCATGTCTGGCCATGCCCCTACCCCTGCTCAGGCTACAGAGCAGAGGGGAAGGGCCAGTTCAGCTCTCTGCAGTGAGCAGCACAGCCCAGCAGAGGTGAATTAAGGTGTACTGCGGTCCTGGGCAAACACAAAATTGGAGACTCTCTGTCCCCATGGGAACTGGGGTGCAGGGGCCCCTTCCCTCTCTGGTGCTGGCAGGAGAGGCTGGGTGGATCCTGCTGGGCTGGGGGTAGGGGGGCACATGCCCTCCTCTTCTCCCTGCTCCCCACTCCTTCCCCAGCTATGGCCAAACATACACACACACAGGCATGCACTCACAGGCACATACACAGATGGGCGCCCACTTTACTCGCTCACTCTCTGCACATGGACACACTGATACAAACACACTCTCCCTACCATGCACAAACACACACACACAGATGTACACACATACATGCACAGATGCGCACACACATGCAGACGCACACAAAGACAGACACACAAACATTCACACACAGACACTCAGATGCACCCACAGATGCACAGATGTGTGCACAGATGCACAGCCACGCTCAGAAACACACAGAGGTGCATGCACACACACAAAAATGTACACGCAGAGATGCACATGCACTCACACAAGCTTAGTGAAAACAACTGAGTGCTGACCACAAGGATTCAAGGCTTCAGG